AATTCTTCCCCCGCCCCCTTTTTTGTTCTGCAGTATTAACACTTCTATTTCCCCTGCTTTGTTACAATCCACTCCTTTGTTTTGCATCATTAACATCTCTTTAACTCATCATCCCCTGTCCTGTACCCCATTTTCTCCTTTGTCTTCCTTGCCCTGCCTCCCCCTATCTGTTAGCCCTCAGAAGCCTCTCTCTCCCAACAAGCCCAGGTTCTGACGAATGGTCGTGGATCTGAAATGTTGACTCACTTTCCTTTCTCCATAGACGCTTCCTGACCCTGCTGAATGTTCCCAGTGACTTGTTTTTGTTTTCAGATTTTCAGCATCTACAGTATTTTGTGTGTTGTTTATGCTTCTCTGTTTTGCACAATCGAAAATGCTATACACTTCTGCAGATGTGAGACGTGATGTGAGCAAATTTGTTCCTGATTGTCCTGAACATCACAAGGCTTTCTTTACCAGCTCCATAAATGTTATTTAAAAAGATAGTGGTGATATGGGAATAAACTGGCCCCATGTGTGCACACAAAGTCACTGAGTTGCTCTACGCTAATGGTATGTCTTTTGTTCGCTTCATATTGGAAGATAAAAAGGGTCGAGATAACTTCAGCGTTTCGCTGTTTTTCATCATGGGTTGCCAATGTTCATCTCCACCAGCAAACTCAGAATGTAAAAGAGGAATGAATCAACTTCAGTTAGACATTGAATTTTCATTGCAATGTGGGTTTTCACCAGCTGCTCAGAATGACTTCTTGCATTCAAGTTTCGACCCATAAAGTGCTAAATCAAGTGGGAGGTGTATGCAAGTATAAACCTGCGCTTGATTTAGCACTTTGTGGGTGCCTTCGGTGATAAATTCCACACCTGCCTCACTTAACATCAAGAAGAGCAAGCTGGTTATACCTTATTGCTAAATGCTAAACTTATATAAGTTTGTATAAAGCTAATTTTAAGCACATCGGAAGGAGACTGCCATGCATTCAAAACAACGTTGAGCAAACAGTGAAAAGGTTTATCTGCTTTCTGTTTTAGGTATCCTTGAAGTTGAACCTTTGCACATGAAGCAATGATTTCCCAAAAAAATGTTCACATGGGAAAGGATAAAATCAGTTGTGGGAAAATAGTTCCAGTATAAGTGTTGATGGTACAGAGCCAATGGAAGGGAAATTCACCAAAATAGAGAACTGAGAAATGTTGTGCCAGAAACAAAACTTTCTGATGTGCTGGTTCTGAGAAGGGCATTATAATGTTGTTGTTTTCTAAGAAATTTCACAATGATAAACAACTCAAAATAACTAGAAAATATATCTACACAGAGCAAAAGTATTCTGGATTGCTCAACTACAACAAAACGTTCTTCAGCTCAACGTGCGAAAAACCGAGGCCCTCCTGATTGGCTCACGTCAGCGCCTCCGCACCTCAGGCGCTGACAGCATCAGCATCCAAGGCTGCACTCTCCACCTCTCAAAGCCAGTCAGGAACCTCTGCGTTTTGTTCGACCCTGAGCTGTACTTTCTCCCTCACATCCGCACCACAACTGGCACCGCCTTCCATCACCTGCGGAACATCGCCAGACTACGCCATTACCTCACCCCTCACGCTGCTGAAACCCTGGTCCACGCCTTTGTCACCTCAAGGCTGGACTATGGGAACTCTCTCCTCGCCGGCCTTCCCGCCACTACCCTCCACAAGCTGCAGGTCATTCAGAACTCTGCAGCTCGTGTACTGTCCCGCACCAGGCTTCGGGACCACATCATTCCCACCCTCGCTCGCCTCCACCGGCTCCCCATCCCCCAGAGGATTGATTTCAAGATCCTCATCCTCACCTACAAGGCCATTCACGGCCTTGCTCCCTCCTACCTCTCCGACCTACTATCCCCCTACCTACCTGCCCGTACCCTCCGTTCCTCTGGCTCTGGTCTGCTCCACGTCCCCCGCCCCAACCGCCCTACCATCGGTGGTCGGGCCTTCAGCCTCTCAGCCCCCAGGCTCTGGAACTCCATCCCCCAGTGCCTTCGCCGTCTCCTCCCTTTCCTCCTTCAAGGCCGGTCTCAAAACCTTTCTCTTTGACCGTGCCTTCAGCTCCCCTCTCGACTCTCTTCCCCCTCCTCGCTCCCTCCCTTCCCTCCCTCCCCTGACCATTTCCCCCTCCTTGCTCCCTCCCTTCCCTCCCCTCACCCTAACCATTTCCCCCCTGCTCGGGTCATGACCCAACTGTGCAGCGCCTTGGGACGTCCTCCTGATGTGAAAGGCGCTTTATAAATGGAATCCTGTTGTTGTTGTTGTTGTTAGATTAGTATAGTGCTTTGCACAGTGGGAGGAATTCCCAGTAGTAGACAGTCAGGAATTTGAACCTGAGCTAAGGGTTGGGATCAGGAGGAGTGGAGGGCAGGGGTAGGAGGTAACAGAAGGCAAGGTTGAAGAGGAGGGTCTTGAGATGGGCCTTGAGGCAAGTAAATGAGGGAGCAGGGCAAAGGGACTGTGGGATGGAGTTCCAAAGGGTGGGGGCAGAGAGGCTTAAGGCCTGACCGCTGATGGTGGGGCCAGTCAAGCAGGGAACATGGGAGCAGACAGGTCTATATGGATTTAGTAGGTCACAGAGGAAGTGAGGAGAAAGACGTGGAGGGCTTTGAAGACAAGGACGAGGATTTCAAACTTTATCCTTTGGGGAATGGGGAGCTAGTGGAGCAGGGCGAGGTTGGAGGTGATAGGGTCATGGACTTGGTGCAGGAGAGGACATGAGATGTAGAGTTCTGAATGGTCTGTAGTTTCTGGAAGGAAAAATTGGCAAGGCCGACAAGCAGGGAGTTAATATAGTCGAGCCTGGATGTGATGAATGCTAGTTGCGAATAAGGAGTGGAGCAGTAGAAAAAAGGTTTAACCCACAAGTCATTGTGATCATTTGAACCGCATAGAAAGAGTTGGGCACAGCTAGCCATTTTTAATTAAGCCAATTTTCTCCCCACCTCTCCTTAAGGTGCTGAATCTTTCTGGTGTATGGTTCAGGGTATGCTAGCAAGATTATTCAGTATCTTACCATTCCCTAGCAATGGTTTAGTACTTCAGTACTTTATCATTTTTCAAAATTATGGCTGCATTTAAAATAATTGTATATCTGGGTGTATAATTTGATACATATGGAATTTTAAGGAATAAATTGTTAAGTAGATTTGTGTTTGCACACGAATTCATTGGCTCGATCTATGAGCATTCCAATTAATAGCATGGGGTGAGGTTGTGGTCTCACAGGACCAGTATAATTAATAATAATATTTTTATTAATAATGATCCTGTCAATAATCTCACAAACATCACACTAGTCCATGGGTTCTCTGCTCCAATCCCATCTTCTCTGCTTCAGAGCAGGGTTCTAGTGAGTCAGAGTGACAAATTTCAGGTATCAGAAGACAGATTCTCAGATATCTTGTTGTGGAATTCTCTTGGAAACCCTCAAAGTGCCTTTTTAAAAATAGTTTTCTACAACTGTCCCTCACCAGGGTAGACCAGTACCTGAGTTTTTTAAGTATACAGACCCTAAGAAGCCGTGTGTTGCAACAAAATTAAATAAATCAAGTGTTAGCTTTTGTTTGACCGTAATTAATCGGGGGGTGGGAGGGGTGGGTGGGAGGGGGGGTGGAACATTGCTGCTGATGTCTCACCTTCACTCCTTTTATCAGTATTTCACTGCAATCCTTAAAGTGTCAGAACCTAATTTATTTGAAATACTCAAATGCATCAAAAGGATCATTATTAGTTCATCCAAATTAGTGAATACTGAATTTCAGTCTACTATTTAACACCCACATTTGCAGTTTGTGAACTTCAAAAGCAACGCACTGTATGAAGCTTCAAAACGTTTTACGGAAAGCGCAATGTAAGTCTAAGTGTTTGAAGCATAATGAAGCATTTTGATGCACTGTTTGTCTGTCATATTGACCACATAATGAGGGTTTCCTTTCGATATCAAAATTTGATTTGGATTTTCTTCTCTTCCCATCTAACATAGGAAAAACAGCCGATTGGCATGAATTATGACCAGAAGCAATTGCTATGACAGCCTGGTGCGTAATTCTACAAAACCTTGGAAGGGAAACTGCACGAATTAATGCCACAGAATCAAAAGCCTGAAAATCCTGGATCATTATATCAAAATTTAAGACCGTCCAGAGTTTTGGAAAATTCGTAAATTTATTCTTAAATAGGAAGTCTGTTTTCCATAGTTCTTAAAGTATAAAAGTCAAAGAAAAAGCTTCCAAACTAAGAATGGATTATAGATTTTCAAAAATTCAGTGCTACCTTAAACTTTAAGACAACGATTTAAAGGCTCATCCATGAGAATGTGGGGGCTCGGATGCATAGCAGATTAACTTAATGGGGTTAGTGAGGAAATCGGACACAGACTACCAAACTATGAGTGGCTTGGATGTAAACTTGCGTTAAACTGCTGCAAAATCAGATTCAATTATCTCAAGAAAAAACAGAACAACAACACATAAAAGACTTTCTGGTTGCACTCACTCGCATTTGCTTCTCATACCAACACAGGTATATTTTTAAAAATCAGGGAGGTACATTCCAATGATCCAAACAAGCTAAATTTCTCTCTCCCACTTTCCTTCTGAAAGTGCAGTTCAGAAGCCTCCAGATTTGGCATTCATTGTAACAATACAAACACAAAATGTGGGATATGGTCATAGTTTTGCACATCTCAATACACTGCCTGGACTCTGATGAGATTAAGAATGCACATTCAAACAGGTAATTGAAAATTGCAGTTTAAAGCGTCTGATGAGATATAATGACCTCAAAACCCCAAATACTGCAAATCTGAAAACAAAAACAGAAGTCTCTGGGAACACTCCATAGATGCTGCCTGACCTGCTCCCAGCGACTTGTTTTGTGGATAAAATTACCTCAACCTGACTTGGACAGTACAGTATAACCTCGCTCTTTTTAAAGTGAATTTTAAAAACATACCATTCAAAAATGTTCCTAGCTCTTACCTTTATCTTCAAGAAATGAGTGCCTGGAAGTTCTTTGTAAAGAAAGTGGTGCTTCAGGTTTCATGCGGTTACTCAAATATATTGTTGTGCTCCACCTTGTGGGAGTGTTCTGCAGAGTAAGCAAATAGATATTGTCAGCCCAAGTTTCAATCATTCAATCACCCCTGCCCTCAGTTATTTTTTAAAAAATCTTATTTTTGATTGAGTGAAAAACAAGAGTCTCAAAATTTGATATAAAAATAGCATTTGACAAACATTTTAGTGATAGATTCTACTGTGCAAATAATGTTGCTCACATGCTGTGTTCAGACCAAGTGATTTCACTTCATGTTGAAATGAAACAACTGTAATGTTCTGATATTCACCTCTGCCAGTTCTTGTTGTTGATAAAGTTGGGAATAGTTCTGTTTTTTCTGTTAGTTATGTATCCAGCTGAAGTTTAATTTCCTCTAGTGATTCTACTGCCAGGAACACAAAAACGATCAAGAAGAAAGATGTATCGTGGGTTATACATTGGACCATCTCAAAGTGCTTTACAGTGAAGTGATTTTTTTTGTTGTTTGCTGAAGAGAGAGATTGAAAGAACAGGACTGTTAAAAAAAAGTTAACTTTCTCTCAAATTACTTGCAACGATTTGCCCTTTTAATCTGCCCTTTAAACGGAGCAATCTGGAAAGAATGTAACAGTGAACAACTGGACTACTTTTCAGTATTACACCTGGAGACAACAAGGGCTGAATTTTTTCTGTGGATCAGTTTTAGGCTACTGCTGAATTGCGGAGCTATTTTCCACTTCTGGTGCTCAGTCTATAATCTAAAATACAGATCTTATTTTGCATTTATAATACTAAGATGCTGGTAGTGATTGGGGAAGAGTTGAGTGTCTGGTTTGGAAGTGAAATACAGCTGGATAGTGACTTTCTTAATATTTTGTTAACTTTCTCCTCACCTGAAGGCAGGGGCACTGCTGGGGTTTGGTCCAGGGGCATTGGCCCAAAAGGCCCTTCTTTGTACGAGTACACAGTTTGCATTGGCAGGCCATCAAACCAAGGGGACAACACAGTAAGCCCAATCCTGCCCCCACATATGCTCTGCATGCTAAAATTTGTGAAGATGAAAATTTGCAAGAGCGCTGCTTGGCTTTTTTGTCATCTGTATTTGTTGATGCTTTACATTTGCAAAGCTAAAAAAATTGGTGAAATTCGCGGAAAGAAAGCTTTTGAAATCCTGAATGCTGAGCAATTCATTGCTTTACTGAAGAGTTGTTGTACCCGAACACACCACACAAAAATCATAACAGTGATTAGCAATGGGATTGTTCTCCTTAGAGCAGAGATGGTTAATGGGAGACTTAATAGAATTGTTCAAAATTATGAGGAGTTTTGATAGAGTAGATTGGGAGAAACTGTTTTCACTGACAGTTGGGTCAGTAACCAGGGGACATAGATTTAAAATGATTGGAAAAAGAACCAGAGGGGAGATGAGGAGACATTTGTTTTACACAGAGAGTTGATACGGTCTGGAATGCACTGCCTGAAAAGATGGTGGAAACAGATTCAATAGCAACTTTCAAAAGGGAATTGGATAAGTACTTGAAAAATAAAAAATTGCAACAATATAGTGAAAGAGCGGGGGAGTGGGGCTGATCGGGTAGATCTTCTAAAGAGTTGGCACAGGCACAATGGGACGTCCCAAGGCACTGGATGGACAGAGTTTCGGACCCTAGCTCTCTCTCCTCTCTATTCCTTCATATATATATATATATATATATGTGTGTGGTGAAAAGCTGAGGCCTCAGTACAGACACTTGGGGAACACCACTTGTCATGTGCTGCCAATCAGAGAACGTTCCTTTTATCTCTACTCTCTGTTTCCTGCCTCCCAACTAATTACTAAGCCATGTTGCAAGGTTACTTCAAATTCCACATGCTTTTATTTTTGCTAATAATCTCTTGTGCGGAAGCTTATCAAATGCCTTCTATGTAGACAATATCCATAGATGTTCTCTTGTCTGCTATGTTAGTGACCTACTCAAAAAATTCAATTGGATTTGTCAGACATGACCTACTCTTCACAAATCCGTGAAGACTTTCTTTGTCATTCTTGTCATTCTTGTCCAAGTCCTCAGTCACTCTGTCCCTGATGAAAGATTCCAGTAATTTCCCCACAACTGAAGTTAAGCTGACAGGTCTGTAGTTCACTGGTTTCTCCCTCCATTCTTAAATAATGGAATGACATTTGCAATTTTCCAATCCAAGGGCACAATTCCTGAATATAGAGAGCTTCGGAAAATGATGACAAAACTTCTGCAATTTCCTGTCCTGCTTCTTTTAATACCCTGAGGTGGAATCCATCAGGTCCTGGAGATTTGTCTCTTTAGTCCCATTATTTTCTCCATTACCATTTTTTAATTTATATTAAATCAATTTAGTAATTCTCTTTGGCTTATTTTTAGGTTCCCTTTATACTGCTGGTATTTTGTCATCTTCTACTGTGAAAACAAAAGTATTCATTCAACAACAAATTTCATTATTGTCCATTACAGTCTTACCTACATCTGTTTTTAATGGGCCCACATTCCCCTTTACCCCCCTCTTTCTCTTAACATATTTATAAAAACTTTTATTATTGCCCTTGATATGCCTTGCTAGATTTTTTTTCATATTCCCTTTTTGCACCTCTTATTACTTTCTTTGTATCTCTTTGTTGCTTTTTATAAGTCTCCCAGTCCGCTGGATTTCCACTGTTTCTTGCATTAGTGTAAGCCTTTTCTTTTAGTTTGATGTTATCTCTTACCTCATTTATCAACCATACTTGTTGAACTACACAAATGGAGCTTTTGTGTTTTAGGGGCATGTACTGGTTTTGCATTGTACCAAATTCTTCTTTGAATATTTACCATTGTATGTCTGTGGGTTTACCCATTAACAGTTCAGCCCAGTTTACCATTGTTAATTCATTTCTCACCTCTTCGAAGTCAGCCTTATTTAAATTTAAAATCTTGGCTTGCAACTTTTGCTTCTCCCTCTCAAAACTTATTTCGAATTCAGTCATATTATGGTCACTATTTGTAAGATGTTCCCTTACCATCAGTTTGTTAACTAATTCTGGTTTGTTATTTATCACCAAATCTAGTATGGCATGTTTCCTTGTCGGTTCTAAAACATATTGTTTCAGAAAACTGGCCTGAATACATTCTAGAAATTCATAGCCTTGCCTGCTTGAGCTATTCTGCTTCACCGAGGCTATGTGAAAATTTAAATCTCCCATTACAACCACATTGCCTTTGCTGTATTCTTCTCTGATCTCTGTGTTCATACATCTCCACTAAATCACTACTATCACAGGTGTGATCATCTGGGACAGTCTCACTGTCCACAAATTCCCACATTCTGCAATTTCAACACACTACCTGTGCTGCCAGTTTCTACTCTACAGTTGATCTTTTTAGAGCTCTTATTTATTTCCTATTTATTTTTATTTATTGATTACTGGTTAGGTTTTATCTCTTGCCTTTTATTATTTTTTTTAAAAATAAAATGTTTTAGTTTAGTAACCCCTCATGAGGCATTGAACACATTTAAAAAGCCTGAAAGTAGACTGGTTTAGCCAAACTGGTTTATTGCCCGTTGGGAACAGGAATTATTCCCAAACAACTCCCATTAAACACCTTTGAACGTTCTCCCAACTTGAAAGGAGAGATATAAATCTGATTTGTTGTTGTTAACCCTACAAGCCAAAGCCGCACCTATTCGAATTCAAGATCTTCACCCTCACCTGCAAGGCCATTCACAGCCTTGCTCCCTCCTACCTCTCCGACCTACTATCCCCCTACCTACCCGCCCGTACCCTCCGTTCCTCTGGCTCCGGTCTGCTCCACATCCCCCGCCCCAACCGCCCTACTATCGGTGGCAGGGCCTTCAGCCTCTCAGCCCCGAGGCTCTGGAACTCTATCCCCCAGTGCCTTCGCCTTGCCTCCTCCCTTTCCTCCTTCAAGACCTTTCTCTTTGACCGTGCCTTCAGCTCTCCTCTCGACTCTCTACCCCCTCCTCACTCACTCCCTTCCCTCCCCCCACCCTGACCATTTCCCCCTTGCTCGGGTCCTGACCCAACTGTACAGCGCCTTGGGACGTCCTCCCGACGTGAAAGGCGCTCAATAAATGGAATCTTGTTGTTGTTGTTGTTGTATTAAGGTTTTCCCAGCTGGACAAACAGTGGGAAGATTGAGAGACTGTAGCAAGCTGCGTGATTTAAACTGGTTAAACTTTTGCACTCGCCCACTCACTCACTCTAGGATCCTCCAAACCTGCATGAAATAATTTACTGGATCAGAGTGAGTAGCTCCAAGTATGTCCATTCCAGACAAGGGAAAGTTCCCATGCAGATGTGGACCTCTCAGTTTAGTTTGGACATTCTTAAGCGTTTTTTGATTCATTGCATGTGAGACACCTGGTGAACCAAAAAATGATTGACAGAAGTAAATAGGGAACATGTAGGTGGGCATCATTGTTGTGATCCTGGTACCTACCATTCCCAGCACCTGGAGGACCTGGGTTTGATTCCTGGGCAGGGCAAAATGTTGGGCAAGTTTTCTTATTCAACACACCCCTGTTTACCTAGCAGTAAATCGGAACCCCATTGTTAGTAGATTGGCAGATCGCGTTTTTGGGGGTAATAATCCCTGGTAAAAAGAATGTGGTCATTCAATCCACGCCTGTTTGTGGGAGACTGCTCTGCGCAATTGGCTACTGCGTTTCACCCATGAAATATACAGTCAATTCACTTTGCAGTATATTCTGTGAAGTGCTTTGAGATGTCTAGAAGATGTGATAATGTTAGCAAATTTGCAAAAAAACCTTACTTACTTAAAATGTCTACCTTAACCACAAAAACTTAATTACAAATATCTCAAGCTTTTGAAGGCTTGAAGAAATGTTTCCTGGCCAGCAAGAATGTTATCTCCATGGATATGGCTTGCTGGGGCTTGTCTTATGAATGAGAGCCTGTGGAAGTCGTTTAAGAGCCAGCTTCAAAACAAAATCCTCTCTAAAGCTACAGCTTGGAACAGCTGCTTCCTTGCTTGATTGTCATGTGTGTTTGAGGGTGGTGTTGGGGGGCAAGAAACTCTCAAGCACCACTGACAGTGGGTGAGAATAATTCAATATTTGGGCAGCCCATTTCCAATCACCTTATTTGTTTTCATTTGTTTAAGTTCCCAGAGCAGTATTTTCCATTCTGGACTAAAGAAGGTTTTATTGGTGTCTATTTAGTTCAGTTAATCGTGATCTCTTATTTGGGTCCGAGATTATGGGTTCAAGACCACAGGACTTGAACTCACTGCTGCACTTGGGATATCCTGCTGACACGAAATGCACTAAACATGTATTTTATGCTGACATTTCAGTGCTGAACTGGGGAGCGTTGCCTTGTGTTCTGGATGAGTGTTTAGATTGAGGTCTTGACT